ATCTGATAGAAGCTGGAAAAAGAGAAAATCAAGCTTGTTAGGAAATTATGCTGAAACACGTCATTTCCGAATGAGAATGTAGACAGGTTACCTGTAAGAATTTGTGATTTACATGACATTGAGAATGAGGACTTTCGGACTCGGAGGCTTTTTTGTCCCACCTCCTCCCTGTTTCCCGGTGGTTAAATGTGTATGCTTTTCCACTCATGACTGGCATAGCACCCGAGTCTTACGCGTCAGATTCTTTCAGCGATTGTCCAGGGGATAAAGCACACGTGAGTCACTGTCTCGCCGAAGGAGGTGACGTTCAGGGAATTGCAGAAGTCTTGCTGGAGGTTACGCCCCCTCGGGCCTCACTCTTTCAGCCAATCTCAACTAGAGCAGGGCTTCTCAAACGTCACTGTCTGTGCACAGGAATCCCCTGGCGACCTTGTGGAGCTGATACCACCGAGGTCCAAGGGCACGGCCTCCTGCCCGAGGGGCCGCAGGAGGGTCCAGGTGGGCAGACCTGTCGCTCCACCCTCAGCCCTCGGGCCATGGGGCTGGGCTTTACGGACAATATCGCTTTAGACATGAGCCTCTGTGTCCCAGCTTCCTCTTCTACTGGGATGAGAAAAATAAAACCTACCTTGTAGGGCTTTTATAAAGATTGAGATAAAGAGTGTGAAGTGCTCAGTGTGGTCCTGGGCACGTGGTGGGCACTCGATAGTGTAAGGTCTTGTCATTACGCCCTGTGCAGCCCAGGGACACCATCATTCAACAACACACAAAGCTGCTTTCATTGTCTCTGCCCTTAGAACCTGAGACCTGATGAGGAAGCAGGTGAGAAGCTGACTCCTTCGTTTCTTGACTTGGTCAGAACCCCCCAGATCAGGAAGCATACTTGGATCTTGATGTATAACTGGTAAGGAATATTTTTTCACTTTAAGATCCCTACGATTCCTTTAACCATAATCACCCACATTAAGGAAGGGAACGAGGGTGTCTTTGAAACATAACCCAGTCCCAGCATTAGCATCGTGGATGGCGACGTGCGGCTGATGCACGGTGGCTTTCCCTGCCACTGCTTCTCCCAGGCAAGTGTTGAAATCAGCTCACAGCCCTTAAGCATAGATCAGGGCATTCCCAGCATTGGCTTCACATTCGAATCACCTGGGAGATTCTGAAATACCAAGGCCAGACCGCCATCTCCAGAAATACTGATTTAATGGTCTAGGATAGGGCCCAGCTCAGGAACCAATAGTTTCTAAATTCTCCAGGTAATTCTAATAATAGCTGAAACTGAGAACTATTGGGATAGATTAATTGATGATGAGTACAGATCTCTATGATTGTACAGGGCTGGCCTTTTCTGTTCTTTTCTACATGAAGAAAAAAATCAACTTATGAAAAAGAATACTCCAAAAAAAAATTAATTAAAAAAAAAAAAAAGAAAAGAAAAAGAATAATCCACTTTCTGTTCTTTTCTACATGAAGAAAAAAATCAACTTATGAAAAAGAATACTCCAAAAAAAAAATTAATTAAAAAAAAAAAAGAAAAGAAAAAGAATAATCCACCGGCTCCACAATCCAGCCACTTGAATTTCACTGTGTCTGCCGTCTAATAGGCTGCGCTCGGAGCGTGGAGCTGCGCTTTTCTACCAAGGCAGCTTCCTAGCAGGGAGCGTGGGGTCTCAGGACAGCCAGATGAGGATGTGCAATCACCGACCAAAGCAAAGCTCACTGAAGCCAGCTGAGCAAACTTCACTGCACTGCATGAAAAAGCAGTTTTGAAATTTGTCCTCATTATTCCTTCTTCCCTTCTCCGAATAATTGTTACTCTTGAGAATTATCCTCATATTTTCCATTACATTTAATAACCACTTTTGTCAACAAAACTAGAAACACTGTCAAAGCCTTGCTTGCATCAGGCTAGAGGGGAAATCATCAAGACGGGAGCCTGTGCCCATGTGGTCTTCTGGTTTCCTAACATTTGAGTTAGGGTTAGTCCCAACTGTGTTAGAGACCACAAAGAGAAATAACTCACAACTGCTAATAACCTGATGTAGCTTTAATAAATAAATCACTCTGTTAATCATGCTTCTTGGCTTTCAGTTTGGCCAGGAGTGCTGTCCTAATTTCCTCCCCTTTCTGGTTTGGGGTCACAGCCAGCCACTGAAGTGGTTCGTGAAAGCAACGGGATGGAGGGAGTAGCTAGGGGCGGGTCCGGGGGAAAGGTGGCCCACGACCGACTCTGACTTCTCCAGACGCCTGTCCCATTGGGTGGCTTGCATTTGGGGCTTGGCTTCACCTTGGCTCTCCTCTCTGCTCAGGTTCACGAGCGCTGTTCTCTATCAGGGCCTCATCATGCACATGGGCCTAGCAGGGGACAATGTATACCTGGATTTCTTCTACTCTGCCCTGGTTGAATTCCCAGCTGCCTTCGCCATCATCCTGACCATCAACCGCATTGGTCGCCGTTACCCTTGGGCTGTGTCAAATATGGTGGCAGGGGCAGCCTGTCTAGCCATGGTTTTTATCTCTGATGGTAAGTTCAGTCCAAGCTGTGATCTTGTTTCCAAGGCACTGAGAAGAAGGGGTAGCACGGCTCTTTGATAGGAAGACCATGCAATTTATCATCCAAATAGATTTAGAAAGATGGAGAGCAATATCTGGGACTTTCCTGAGCAAACGCATACGGCCAACCTGCCCTTGAAAACAAGTGTACCCTGTTGTTCCCTAACATGATATGACAAGAGAGGCCATGAAGCCCCAGCTGCAGGCCAGAGTCGACCTAGAACAGACAGCATGAACTCTAGAGTAGAGCAGGCCATGGCCAAAGTCTCACTCCAGGACTTCCCAGACATGACTGAGGCAACTCCCTTGTCCTCCTGCATCATTCTGCAGAGTAAATGAGAAAACCTATGTAATGCCATCGATACACAATTATTCCGTTCCTTCCTTTCCTTTTAAAATGCTTTCTCAATGAAGGGCAGCAAAAGCTTCTATAACAGAATCCTTCCAGCAATATGAAGCTTTGTTTGAATCTTTCAGTTATTAGCAAGTATTTAAAAATATACCCATATCTTTCTGTTTCTTTGGGGTGACCTCTATAAAGTTAGTTTAATTCTGTTATTAACAACTGAGATCTAAAGAGAGTGTGAGAGGCGAAACTGTGGAGATGGTAGAAAGATCAGTGGTTACCAGGGAGTGGGGAGTAAGAGGAGTCTGACTAGGTGAAGAATAGAGGGTCCCCAGGGCAGTGAAAATGGGCCATGTGACACTGTAATGATGGATGCATGTCATCACACATTTGAGTGTACAAGCCCACAGACTGTAACCTCCAAGAGCAAACCCTAATGCAAACTATGGATGATATGACGTGTCAGTGTAGGCTCATTGGTTGTAGCAAATGTACCACTGTGGGGGTGCTGATAGTGGGGGGGGGCTGTGCATGTAGGGTCAGGGGGTGTATGGGAACTCTCTGTACCTTCCTCCCAATTTTGCTATGAACCTAAAACTGCTCTTTTTAAAAAAGGCTTTTTTAGAAAACAAATATTAGCATTGTATCTAAGTGAGTCTATAGAACCAACTGCACTTCATTGTTCCAGTCTGGAATGTGGTGTTTCTCCTCACACACTGCTCCGGGGTGCTGTTGGAGAGGGGCATCGTGTGCAGTGTGTGTAAGTGGTGTCCTTTCCCCTAGATCTACAGTGGCTAAAGATCATTGCCGCATGCATGGGCAGAATGGGCATCACGATGGCCTATGAGATGGTGTGCCTGGTCAATGCCGAACTGTACCCCACTTTCATCAGGTGAGTCCCTGTTCCTCAGCATGAAGAGTGCTTGCAACATTTGTGTTTTGGTTGGAAGCACCACAAGTGCAGGCAGAGGACCCCTAACTTCTCAAAGCACAGTGTGAGGGGAGGTGAGTCCCTGTGTCACATTGATGGGCTGGGGTGAGATGCAGGGGCTGTGGTGAGTACAGAAGGAACCGGCCTGCAAGAGCAGGGTCATCACGCAGCTGCAGGACGGTGACCTGAGCAGTGTCAGGAGGCTCTGAAACCCTGGACGTGAGAGGTGAAGATTGTTCCCCACCATTAACCACCTTAGGGTTTACATAAAACAGGAATGACAGAAGATGAAGGGATGGTGTACATACGTTGTTTTGTGCATTGAGAATATTTGTTTCAGTTCTCAGGCATTTGCACAGTGAGGGGAGTGCTTATTAGGGGGTGGGTGGGAGGTGACACCTGTGCTGGGATGTGTTAGAGGGTTGAGTCTGCTCCTGCATCTCAGGAATCTCGGCGTCCTCGTCTGCTCCTCCC